AATGGAGAATTAGAAGAAGAAATTTACATGGAGCAACCCATTGGCTTCATTGTCAAAGGCCAAGAACAAAAAGTATATCGACTTTTGAGATCGATATATGGCCTTAAGCAGTCTTCAAGACAATGGTATATACGTTTTCATAATGCCATAGTGGCCTATGATTTTACAATGATTGATGAAGATCATTGCGTATATATCAAAGGATCCAAAGATCAATTTGTGATCTTATCATTATATGTTGATGACATACTGATTGCCGGAAGCAATATGGAGTTGGTTAATACTGTTAAGAGTTGGTTATCATCCAATTTTGAGATGAAAGATATGAGTGAAACTGCATATATTCTTGGAGTTAAGATTTCAAGAGATCGTTCCAAGAGATTATTGTCTCTTTCGCAAGAGACTTATATCAACAAAGTTCTTGAACGATTTTGTATGCATGATTGTAAACCCATGGATACTCCTATTGCAAAAGGTGAAGGATTGAGCCGTACATTGTGTCCTAAGACTCCACAAGAGAAGGAACAAATGAAATGTGTTCCTTATGTTAGTGCTGTTGGGAGTTTAATGTATGTTATGATGTGTATAAGACCTGACATATGTTTTGCAGTTGGAATGGTAAGTAGATACCAATCCAATCCAAGTCAAGTACATTGGAAAGCCGTCAAAAGAATCATGAGATATCTAAAGGGTACTGCTGATTATTCTCTGAGTTATCAAGGAAAGGATCTGCAACTTGAAGGCTACTCAGATACTGACTGGGGAGGAGATTTAAATGAAAGGAAATCTACCTCTGGATTTGCATTGTTACTGAATAATAGCGTCATATCTTGGAGCAGTAAGAAATAAACATGTATAGCATTATCCATCATGGAAGCCGAGTTCGTGGCATTGTCAGCAGAGTACAAGAGGGAGTTTGGCTTAAGAGATTTTTGGATCATTTAGGTGTTGTTGAGCATGCTGCAAGCTCACTGTTAGTCAATTGTGATAGCCAAGTAGCAATAGCATACGCCAAGGATCTGAAATATCATGGCAAGACCAAACATATAGATACAAAGTACAATTTTGTTAAAGATATGGTAGAACGAAAGGATGTGAACTTGCAGTACATATCTACGTATAGAATGATAGCAGATCCTATGACGAAGCCAATTCCTAGAGATGTTTTCAATGGTCATGTAAAATCTCTAGGACTGCGTAGATGCTGATGTACTGAATATTGTAATTTCCCGGAATGTTCACATTTAAATGAAATTGTTATATCATTGTTAATGCCTATGAGTTTTTTTTTATATATTTATGCATCTTAATACTTAAAGTATTATGTCAAGAAAGTATGTCGGACAGATAAGATTAATCCACTCACACGGGTAATTGCCTCTATTTACTGTGTGATAAATAGAGATGAGACAATTTTAAGCTTATTATCTAGGTGATAATCGAGAGCTCAAGCTTAGAATATAAATGTCGCCTTAGCTAAGTGCTAAGATGAGGACATAACATTTACTATGTCCGAAAGTATAATAGTCCACATATTTTACTTTATCTGTCTTTGATGCTAGATGTGAGTTCTGATGGATTCTTTAGAAGAGTAGATACGTGAACTCAAGTTTAGATATTGAGTATGTCTAAACTATCATATGTACGGTATTGAATGTAAAGACATACGCTCCATGGGAAATGAGTTAATACCGTAATACGTATTTCATACTACGTATGCATGAGACGACCGATAAGAGTGGCAAAAGTTTTGATCTCAACTTTATGCCGTGTGAGACTCTTGAGGATATGAGTTCCTCATTTAGTGCCTTCACGACTTTGACTTATTCTCGAAGTTTCTATTCAGTGTTCGCTATCTTAGGGTGTTGCCAATGGTCATGAATGATTCGATCTAATAGCGCATTTCTAGAAAAGTGAGCTGGACTGAAATAAGAGGTTTAAGGAAAGAGGAAGATCAATTTATTTATGATATCACATCCTATTTTTATATTCACAGGTCGACCAATTATGATTTTGAGTAAATCATAGTTGTGAATACAATATACGAGATACTAAAAGAAATCAAAAGAGATATAAATGTGACTGATTGATCTAGGGTACTGCATACTATATCTACTCGAAAACGTTATGCCCAATTTGAGCTGCTATGTATTCCTAATAGATGCATGGCAACGAGCTCTCGAAGTATGCTGGTCGCACGGATTATTTGCTAGTATGAACATTGCAAAGAAGAGAGAGTTATGTTTAGCCCACCATGTGCGAGTGGGAGATGATGGGTTTTTGTGAATAAATGGGCCGCCCATGATGGGCGAAACCCAGCCCATTAACCTTGAAAGAGCCCATGAAAAAAAATAACCGCAAATGGCAGTTATTTTGTGGGAACAAAAGTGAGAAGAAGAAAAACTGACGTGAGTTCTGCAAGTAGATTTGGTTCGCTATCAGAAACTATCACTCTCACTTGAAACAAAAAAAAAAAGCGACTTTACTCGATAATCGAAGGATCGCTCTCTCTCTCGAGGCTGCAATAGGTGCATTTAATCTGTGGCAAAGAGGTATGTTCATTTACGTAATATGTTTCGTTCGATCGGTGATTCAAGTATAGAATGGGCACGTTTTCCGCATTTTGCATTATGTTTAGGAATATGTTTCCTACAATGAGGTTGTTGTGAAGTGGAAGCATACGTCGGTTTGGCATCCGGGAAAAGACAGGCTTCAAGAGGTATACCAAGTTATGTGGATTCAGATTTTGCTGATGACTTGCATGGATGGAGCTCTTTAATTGGTAATGTGTTCAGTTTTGTAGGTTGGGTCATGAGTTGGACAGCGCACAATCGAAAGTTGCTTTGTTGACAACGAAGTAGAGTATATCACGTCAACCGAAGCAATCAAGGAAGCTATTTGGCTCAAAGGATTGCTAAGTTTTCTGAGATTGCAGTAGGAGCAGATTGTTCTATACTGCAACAATCACAGTGCAATACACTTGACCATGAGCGACGAAAAGCATGGACAAGAGATACCATTTCCTACGTGATATGTGTCATAGGGAACCACATCCATTTGAGAAAGTACATAAGGCTAATAACCTGGTAGACATGTTAATGAAGTCTATCCCATTGATCAAGTTCCATTGTTGTTCGGTCTTGGTCAGTATCTACAATTGATGAGGAGCCTAGATGGGCTTGGGAGACACGACAATCGATGAAGATGCAGCTGAAAACTTCTCACCGAGGTGGACATTACAAAAAAAGCCGGGTTTTGCCACGAAAAATTGCGACAAAATGAATTTGCGACGAAATTAGCGACTGAAAAAAATTCGTCGCTAATAGGCCGTCGCAAAATTTTGCCACGGAAAATTCCAATTTTCGTGGCTAATTTGCGACGAATTATTTTCGTCGCAAAATTCGTCGCTAATTATTTGTAGCAAAATTCGTGGCTAATTTTGCAACGAAAAATAATTCGTCGCAAAATTCGTCGCTAATTATTCGTGGCTAATTTGCCGCGAATAATATTCGTGGCAAATATCCGTCGCTAATTTGCCACGAATATTATTCATCGCCAATATCCGTCGCTAATTTGCCACGAATATTTTTCGTGGCAAATATCCGTGACTAATTTGCCACGAATATTATTCGTGACAAGAATCCGTCGGTAATTTGCCACGAGATCTATTCGTGGCAAAAGCCGTCGCTATTATTTTGATTTATTTTTTGGTCGCGAAATTGCGATGAAATATTTTCATGGCAAAAAGTCGTTGCTAATTATCACGTGGCTAATTTGCCAAAAAAAATTTTTTGCGACGAGTTTATTCGTGGCTAATTTGCCACACAAAAATTCGTGGCTAAAATTCGTGGCTAATTTGCCACTGGAATTATTCGTGGCAAAATTCGTGGCTAATTTGCCCGCAAAATTTTTTTTTATCAGTATTTTGCCACGAAAAATTTTGACTATTGCGGCTGACATTATTCGAAAACAAATTTGGCGACGAATTTTAATGAATACTTTAGCGACGAATGTTGTTTAGGAACGATTTCGATTTGAAATCTAATTAACATTGATAGAAAATCACAGTCAAGACAAGAACAAACCCCAAAAAGAAAGAAATGAAACAATGTTCTAAATTAGCGAGTTCGCAAACTATTGTGGCAAACTATTGATCTTGCCAAGAAGTTCTTTCACGTTGTGGCAAACTGTTGCGGCAAACTATTGATTTCCAAGAATCGAAGTCCTGTCCATCTGCAGCGCAAACATCACAATATCAAACTCCTAACCCCTGTTAATTTTTTCACATCTATTCAACAGCAGAAGCACAAAGATATAAGTACCTCTTAGAAATTTAAACTAGCAAGGATCATCATCATCATCAGCATCAGCATCAGCATCATCATCATCAGGAATCTCATTATCATCATCATTGTGGCCATCACCTACTGGATTAGTAGGAGGTACAGGAGGACCGTCATCAGCTTCGAGGTTGAGGTGTTGCATGATCAATTGCAAACGTTGGTTCACTCCTTTCATTTCTTCGTCCTTCTGTACAAGTAATTGTTTCATTTCTTCGTCTTTCTGTACAAGTAACTATTTCATTTATTCGTCCTTCTGTACCAGTAATTGTTTCAAGCGGTTCAATTCTTGGTCCATTCGCTCCTCGTGTTGTGCCCTTAAAAAAGCCGCACTGGAGGATGAAGTTGCAGCAGCCGGCGTTCTGTACATCCTTGACAAGGATCCCATCCCAAATATTTGACCTCTTCTCATTCCACCCGATGCCTCCATCCATAATGCCATATCAGTCAACCGATGGCTCCTGGACGCAGCAAGCACCATCACCATCACCATCACCATCACCACTAGCAGCAGCCGTGCTCATTACAAGTTCATCATATTTGTCCTACATTAACAATGTTAATAAAAAAAAAACTTCATATATATAAATACAAAATATAACCTTACATACCTTAATAACTTTTGCTCGATTGCCGGTCCATGTCTTATCTTTTTTCGGAAAGGTGCGTTGAAATGTAGCCATAAATATTGGTTCCGTCCTCAATTCATCTGCCTACAAAATATAAACATAAATGAAATGAGTAATTATTGATTTAACTTTACAACATGTTTAAAAGACTTACCATTCTTTTTCTATGCTCCCCGATATTAATAGAGCCCCCAGCATATGTGGCAGACCCTTCACTAGAACTAGAAGCTCGATTCTTCTTATTAATTTCACTGATTTGCTTATGCTTTTCGGTGTCCCAAATTCTTTTGATTTCCGCCCAATTGTCAGCTGTAATAAAATCCGGCTTTTCTTGTCTTCTCTTTGCTCTATTCATCACATTTCGCATGTGATCACCGGCTTTCTTCTTAAAAATTCTTTTAACTTCTTTCTCTTCCGCTTCATCCCACCTGAACTTCCGCTGCAAGCAATCAATAGAAAAATAATTGTACGCTCAGTATGCTAAATCGAACTTAGTTTGTGAGGAAATAAAAGGACAAAACTTACCTTGAACTCATTTCACCACAATTCCTTTACTTCTTTTGGAGCAGTGGTCCAACTACTAAACTGCCCCATCCAATAGTTATCGATTATTTTATTAAGTCTCCTCACAACATGCGTAGAATCCGTGAATCTGCAAACGGGTTATAACTTATTTCAACATACGTAGCATCCGTAAAGCATATAGACAATTCAGTTGACATCCATAATAATTCACATATATTTAAAAAAATGAAATACTTACGAATCTCCAAATGCGGCTATCATGAATCGGGTATCTTCTTCATAATTCGAGTGTTGCGTTGAAGAAGAAGGTGGAACCGAAGGCGATGGAACTGAAGTAAATTCAGTTCGCATTTGAGGGTCGGAGGAAGGGCCAATGTGTCCATGTACTAGTTGAGGGTTAGATAAAAGGGCAGGGGCAGAGGAAGCGGAAAGGGATGGGAATGAGGACGAGGAAGAGGAAAGGCCTGGTCTTCTTTGTGAAGCATCATCACGACGCATGTGACCTCCACGTTTATACTAAAAGGTGCAAGGTTAGACAAAAATAAAGAAAATTATGAACATATATTAATGACACATAATGACGTACGTCATGAAGCTTACCATTTTGTTATTGAGAGCAAGAGAGATGGCCCCTGAAAAAAAGGAAGCTGTCCGGAAATGTCTACGAGCTAAATTTCTGGTCCTACAACGGTAAAAAAGGAAGAACTCATCTAGCTGGTCAGGGTCATCAAATTTTCAGTTAATTTCTGTAATTCGACTTGTTTTAAAATTTAATTGCATGTTTTGAAAGCCTTAGAACTTAATAAGTTACACTTTCACAACAAATTTTATGATGCAAGTAAATCACTAAGTTCTGTTCAAAATGAATATATCAACTTCAACAAGAAAATCAATAAGTTTTTACCTCGAAGGGAGCCACTCCAGAAAACCCAAATGTCACGGAAATAGTTTTACCCCGATGGCCAAAGCTTCAACCTAGGCCAAAAAAGGTTTGGAAATAGTTTTCAAACCTAGATAATGATAAAATGACTCCGAAACGAAAAAAAAAGCGGAAATGTCACGGAAAATACTATTCACCAGAATCATTTTTTGCCAAAAAACCCATCTAAACGACTCAAAAAATCCAAAAAATGGCTTGCGTCACGGCCATAGGCGGTGAATTTCGATCAGCGGGCCGTTTCCACTTGACCGACCAAATTTCAGCTCATTCCGACCACATTTCACCTTAATTCGACCAAATTTCAAACGAATTTCAACTAAATTTCAACCTAAATCCGACCAAATTTCAACCTAAATATGAGAAATTGATTATGTTTCGTTCTGTTTCGTGAGCGAACGAAACAGATTGGGTCTGTTTCGCCCACGAACAGAATCAAATTCGTGGGCGAAACAGAAACAGAACCATTCTGTTTCGCCCACGAACAGAATCAAATTCGTGGGCGAAACAGAATGGTTCTGTTTCTGTTTCGCCTACGAATTTGACTCTGTTCGTGGGCGAAACAGACCCAATCTGTTTCGCACAGAAGCCAACACCCAACACAGAAGCGCCCACGAAAGCCAACACAGAAGCGCCCACGAAAGCCAACACAGAAGCGCCCACGAAAGCCAACACAGAAGCAGAAGCCGAAGCACAGAAGCGCCCACGAAACTGGTTTGTTTCGCACACGAATAGAACCAAATTCGTGGGCGAAACAGACCTAATCTGTTCGTCCACGAACGTAACGCAAGCGGACCCAACACGTAAGCGAGCGAGCGCGAAGCGAAGCGGCGCACCCAACACGAAGCCGGCCAACATAGAAGCGAAGCACGAAGCTTAGCGAAGCGAGGCGCGAGCGAAGCACGAAGCGGGAACACGAAGCGGAAGCACGAAGCGAAACACATAAGCGAAGCACGAGCGAAGCATAGAAGCGAAGCACGGAGCGTAGCGACCCAAACGTAGACCCAACACATACATTGAACGAAAGCATAGCGGACGCAAACGCCTAGAAATAACGGCGAAAAGGACCCAACGAGAAGCATACCGAACAGAAGCGGGCATCAACACTCTCGGACGCCGCCGAAGAACCCAACGAGAAGCGGACCGCGCGGCCGGTGTCCTCGCTTCCCAGCGTCCGCCGCCGAAGAACGCCAAGAATCGCGCCGAAGAATGCCGAAGAACGGCGAAGAACTGCAACAGAGACAGAGAAAGAGGGAGAAGACAGAGACAGACAAGAGACAGAGGTAAGGTGAGAAGATTGGTTCGATCGTGAGAATAGAAAAGAAGAACCCTAATTTGTACCCGCTCATGAAGACGACGCCGTTTGTTGAATTTTCGCTCAAATTAACCACGGATTTAAAATCGTGGCTAAAATCGTGGCAAATTTGCCACGGTTTTAGGATTCGTGGATAAAATCGTGGCAAATTAGCCACGAATCTTATTTCGTGGCTAATTTGCCACGGATTTAGCCACGATTTCCAATCCGTGGCTAATTTGCCACGATTTTAGCCACGAATTGTTATTTTCTCGCGGCAAATTCGAATCGAAATATAAAATTGTCGCGGTAATTTTGGGGTCTTTTTCAAATTCATGGCTAAAATCCGTGGCAAATTTGCCACGAATTTCCTGAAAAAGCCTACAGAAGATTTTTTTTTTTTTTTTAATTCGTGGCTAAAATCCGTGGCAAATTTGCCACGGATTTTTGCCACGAATTTCCTGAAAAAGCCTACAGAAGATTTTTCATTTTAAAAAAAATCCGTGGCAAATTTGCCACGAAATTTAGCCACGAATTTCCTGAAAAGCCTTCAGATTTTTTTTAAAACAAATCCGTGGCAAATTTGCCACGGATTTTTGCCACGAATTTCCTAAAAAAGAATACAATAGAATTTTTTTTAAAAAAAAATCCATGGCTAAAATCCATCGCAAATTTGCCACGGATTTTTGCCGCGAATTTCCTAAAAAACCCTACACACGATTTTTGCATTTTAAAAAATATCCGTGGCAAATTTGCCACGGATTTTTGCCACGAATTTCCTAAAAAAGAATACAATAAATTTTTTGTTTAATAAAAAAATCCGTGGCAAATTTGCCATGGATTTTAGCCACGGAATTTCTAAGAAAGATACAATAGAATTTTTTTTAATAAAAAAATCCGTGGCTAAACTCCGTGGCAAATTTGCCACGGATTTTTGCCACGAATTTCCTAAAAAAAGAATTCAATAGATTTTTTGTTTAATAAAAAATCCGTGGCTAAAATCCGTGGCAAATTTGCCACGGATTTTAGCCATGAATTTTCTAAAAAAAGAATACAATAGATTTTTTGTTTAATAAAAAAATCCGTGGCAAATTTGCCACGGATTTTTGCCACGGATTTCCTAAAAAAAAATACAATAGAATTTTTTTAAAAAAAAAATCCGTGGCTAAAATCCGTGGCAAATTTGCCACGGATTTTTGCCACGAATTTCCTAAAAAACCCTACACGCGATTTTTGTTTTAAAAAAAAATCCGTGGCAAATTTGCCACGGATTTTAGCCACGAATTTTCTAAGAAAGATACAATAGAATTTTTTTTAATAAAAAAATTCGTGGCAAATTTGCCACGGATTTTTGCCACGAATTTTCTCAAAAAGCGTACACACGATTTTTGTTTTTAAAAAAATCCGTGGCTAAAATCCGTGGCAAATTTGCCACGGATTTTAGCCACGGATTTCATAAAAATCCACAATCATGCGTACGGCCTTTGTTTACGAAATCCGCGGTAAATTGCCACGAATTTTTGCCATGAATTTCGTAAAATTAATTTTTGGCTTTTCATGAAAAATTACTTAGCCTTGTGAGTGGGATTTTTTCATGAAATTCGTGGCTAAATTTCGTGGCAAATTTTCCACAGATTTTAGCCACGAATTTCATTTCTACTATCCCACACTCGCGTAATTCATTTTTTTTTCCGGACAATAACGTTTCATTAACAATAATAGCAATAATAATATTCAACAACAATTACAATAATAATAATAATAATAACTACCACAACAACAACAACAACAACAACAATACTAATAATTACGGCAACAACAACAATAATAAATATGACAACAACAATAAACTTTGTCATAATAATAATAATAATAATAATAATAATAATAATAATTACGACATAATTAGTAAAAAGTCTCAAAAATCTAAATCTTCGTCTTCACCTTCGTCTTCATCTTGATCTTAATCTTCTTGTTCAGCATCATCGTCATCATCATCGTCATCGTCATCATCATCATCATCATCATCATCCTCTGTCTGAAAATCAGATTCTGCAACACCTTCTAAATTTGATTCGCGAATTTCAATTAGATCTACATCTATCATTGCTCCACATGGATCTCATAGAGTAGGAATGTTATATTCCTCAGTTTGAACCGCATTATAAACTTCCTCTTGTTGATATGCTGTATCCTTCCAGTATTCCTCAATTTTTCTTCGTGCTTTGGTTTTACATACAGCCCACTAATCAGCTTTGTCACGTTTCAAACTAGGATATGATGCATAATATACTTGAATTGCTTGTTGTGCCAACACAAATGGTTCATATTTCTTATGCCTTTTCTTGTGATTTATTTCAACCAAATTAAACTTCGTATATACCTTCATTCCTTTGACGGGGTCGAACCACATGCACTTAAATAACACAACCCGCATTAATGGTCTAGGGTACTCTATCTCGATGATTTCATCCAACAAGCCATAAAAATCATCTTTTGAACTACCACAATTGGATGACCGAACACACACACCACTATTCATTGTGGCTTTTTCCATTCCATATTCTCGAGTGTGAAAATTGTACCCGTTTATGAAATATGCTGGCCAACTTCGTATGCTTGACTGTGGACCCCATGACAGATAATATAGTAATCCTTGCTCTTCAACTTGTTCATGATTACTGTGAATCTAAGATTACACACGCAAAGTCAATAATATATATTTAAATAATGTATAAAATATTAATAACTTGGTTTTGGTCTATAGGCAATTTACATATGTTTTGAACCATGCTGCAAATTGTTCATCGCACAAACGGTCGAACTCATTTGGTGGTAGTCCATACATTGAATTTTGAAAAATCCTATTAACAATTTACATTTAAATATTAGTAAATATTTGACACGCAATACATATATTTGCAAAAATATACACTTACTGGAAGTATGGCTCCACTTCTGGACAGTTCAGTAAAATATAGGTATGGGCTGCTTGCCGTTCTTCGCCTATTAAGCAATGAAAGTGACATGCGCCGCTTAGTCGACCGAGATAATTGAAAATAAAGAATGATTTGCAATTGGGATCGATGGGACCCTCATCATTTCTTCCTGCTCTCCGCCTCTTGTACTGCACGTGTGGCCCAAAATAGTATGATGCAAATGTTGTCACTTCTTCCACAATATATGC